TGTGTGTGTGTGTGTGTGTGTGTGTGTGTGTGTGTGTGTGTGTGTGTGTGTGTGTGTGTGTGTGTGTGTGTGTGTGTGTGCTCGCATTAAAAATGTTTTTCATACTTATGGAACAGACAAATGGTGAAATAATACTGCAACTTCTCCATGGTGCTTTCTGTGTGGATTCACCAACAATGTTCCTGAAGCAGACTGCCTGTGGTCATTCTAGCATTGCAGCGCATCGGTTATCTTGCCAGCGGGCCTTACTTAAATTACACATATTGACATTTTGGAACAAACAGTAGTCTTTATTTACATGGCACCTCCGCAAAGTGCTTTTTTCTGAAAACAATCTACAGCAACATAACATTTTAAAAAGAACACAGTAAAGAAATCCAACTATATATTGCAACAATGTATGCAAAAAAAATTTAAATAAGAAGGGACTAATTTTAGATAAAATTGTGAAAACTGGATAATCAATAAAGCAGTTAAAAGCAACCCAGAAATAACAAATGAATGCAGAATGCATCAAAGCAAAACAAAACGGCAAAGTAGCAGATAAGTACGCCTGCTTTTCACTAGAGTTTTTTTAAGACAGACCCAAGTCTCTGATTTGTCCTGATTGTCTGTAAATGAGTTGTTCTAAATGCACCCAAGCACCATCATCTTTGATCATGGGTCACCATGAGAGAAAACAAAGTTTTGAGTCTTTAAAGCCAAATATATATCGTTTTTGACTATTCTTACGGTGGCCCTGAAAGATCAAACACACTGCAACCAGCTTGGGAAGTGATGAGGTAAGAGTGCACGGTTAATATTAAATCAAAACATACATTATCTGCATCTTTTTCTCCCTCCCAGTACAGAAGAATCTTCTGCTTCTTTTAAGCGTGAATCAATGCGGTCTTTCCCGTGTTTTGCCTTCAGTCACTTCCACGGCTATTCCCTCACGCTGCTGTTTCCCCCAAAAACACTCCTGCTGTGAGAGTTGTTCCAGCTTTTTTTCCTGTTTGCTGGTGTTTTCTTAAGTCGCAGTGTGTTTGACCTCTCAGGGCCACCCTATACAGTGGGGCAAAAAAGTATTTAGTCAGCCACCGATTGTGCAAGTTTCCCCACTTAAAATGATGACAGAGGTCAGTAATTTGCACCAGAGGTACACTTCAACTGTGAGAGACAGAATGTGAAAAAAAAATCCATGAATCCACATGGTAGGATTTGTAAAGAATTTATTCGTAAATCAGGGTGGAAAATAAGTATTTGGTCAATAACAAAAATACAACTCAATACTTTGTAACATAACCTTTGTTGGCAATAACAGAGGTCAAACGTTTACTATAGGTCTTTACCAGGTTTGCACACACAGTAGCTGGTATTTTGGCCCATTCCTCCATGCAGATCTTCTCGAGAGCAGTGATGTTTTGGGGCTGTCGCCGAGCAACACGGACTTTCAACTCCCGCCACAGATTTTCTATGGGGTTGAGGTCTGGAGACTGGCTAGGCCACTCCAGGACTTTCAAATGCTTCTTACGGAGCCACTCCTTTGTTGCCCGGGCGCTGTGTTTTGGATCATTGTCATGTTGGAAGACCCAGCCTCGTTTCATCTTCAAAGTTCTCACTGATGGAAGGAGGTTTTGGCTCAAAATCTCACGATACATGGCCCCATTCATTCTGTCCTTAACACGGATCAGTCCTCCTGTCCCCTTGGCAGAAAAACAGCCCCATAGCATGATGTTTCCACCCCATGCTTCACAGTAGGTATGGTGTTCTTGGGATGCAACTCAGTATTCTTCTTCCTCCAAACACGACGAGTTGAGTTTATACCAAAAAGTTCTACTTTGGTTTCATCTGACCACATGACATTCTCCCAATCCTCTGCTGTATCATCCATGTGCTCTCTGGCAAACTTCAGACGGGCCTGGACATGCACTGGCTTCAGCAGCGGAACACGTCTGGCACTGCAGGATTTGATTCCCTGCCGTTGTAGTGTGTTACTGATGGTGACCTTTGTTACTTTGGTCCCAGCTCTCTGCAGGTCATTCACCAGGTCCCCCCGTGTGGTTCTGGGATCTTTGCTCACCGTTCTCATGATCATTTTGACCCCACGGGATGAGATCTTGCGTGGAGCCCCAGATCGAGGGAGATTATCAGTGGTCTTGTATGTCTTCCATTTTCTGATGATTGCTCCCACAGTTGATTTTTCACACCAAGCTGCTTGCCTATTGTAGATTCACTCTTCCCAGTCTGGTGCAGGTCTACAATACTTTTCCTGGTGTCCTTCGAAAGCTCTTTGGTCTTGGCCATGGCGGAGTTTGGAGTCTGACTGTTTGAGGCTGTGGACAGGTGTCTTTTATACAGATGATGAGTTCAAACAGGTGCCATTCATACAGGTAACGAGTGGGGGACAGAAAAGCTTCTTACGGAAGACGTTACAGGTCTGTGAGAGCCAGAGATTTCCCATATTTGAGGTGACCAAATACTTATTTTCCACCCTAATTTACGAATAAATTCTTTACAAATCCTACCATGTGAATTCATGGATTTTTTTTTTCACATTCTGTCTCTCACAGTTGAAGTGTACCTCCAGTGTCATCATTTTAAGTGGGGGAACTTGCACAATCGGTGGCTGACTAAATACTTTTTTGCCCCACTGTATTCTTTGTCCGTTACACCAGAAGATTAAAACACTAAACAAAGTAAATGCTAACGATCAAAGCATTCATTCCGAATAGGTCTGATGCTCGGAAACCCAAAGGATCCGTCGCCATTGTTTGCGGATGCTTAGGAGCGACTTGAGGAACATGACAAAGAGTCCAAAGTGGAGCAAGATAACACAGAACACCCCCAGATGGCTGTGTTTGCAGCACAAGGGGGCCCTACCCAGTATTTAGACAGAGGTTTTGCTGTTGTAACAGATTTATGTCTATTGATGCTGTTTTCCACCACAGCTGTTTGCTAATTGATCTAAATAACTGAAAGCCCATCATGCTTTAGGGCTGGTCTGGCTGTCCTCGCACAGTGTTTTTTTGTATTCATTTTTCCTCGGAAGTAAACCTGCATGCAAATAGATGCCTTTGTTGAGTTCACTAATGTAATGTTGGCGCTTGTGAGTTCAACCAAGAGTAAAAAAATAAAGTCTTATGTAATTTGTATGTACTGTACCAGGTGCCATTGCTCTCTAACACAAGAACAAAGATAAAGCAAGCAGGGGGTTAATTTTAGCTGAACTCCTGAAGATGAGAATTACAGCTGCTGTTTTCTTCCTCCTTAGTCCTCTTTTGCTTTTTAATATGAATGAGTTAGCTAGTGTGTTTTCATAGAGGGAGGAGAGGAGCTATGTAGTACCAGAGACCAATGTGCAGATCATAATCATGCCACATAATAAATAACTTTATATGATAAATGTTTTATGAAGCTTAAGCACAAAAATCTACACATTGAAAAATCTGGTTAATTTGTTAACTTATTTAGTCCCTAATTGGAATTGATGAAGAAGGCTTTCTCTCAGTGTTCTTCATTCAGGATAAAGAACACCTGATTAGCATCACACATTGTGAGAAATCAGATGCTGAGCTGGAAGGCGGTGAATCTGCCCAGTTTCTTCATAGGAATCTTTTATGCTTTTCTCGGCATTATCTAGTTCTCTTTGTTGCGGCAAGTAATGAAGAGAACTGCAGTATGAAGTATGTGTCTGCACTGCAATATGTGAAGGTGTTGCTGAGTGTAATGCATTACATCAAGAAATGAAGATTGAAGACATGCCTTTGTTCACAATAAACTCTGCCCCAGTCGTGCGCACCTGCAGGAGCTCCGCCACACTGCTCATCAGATGGCATTAACTCCTCATTACGAGCACTTAACCCAGTTTTGCTTATAACTGCGTGTCTACACTTGCTCCTCCTGTACTTTCGAGCCATCACTGCTCAGTGTCTTGCAGAAAACAGTTTCATCTGTCTCCTCAATGTCAACTCAGTTCAGCTCTGTTCACTTTATTAATCCCCATGGAGGAAATGGATTCGAGGGCAAACAAAGTTCTTCAAACAGCAATGAGCCAACAGGCATTAAAAAATAGAGTGAGGGAGAGACGAGGGTGTGTAAGATGACTGATGAAGTATGGTAGTATGTAGCACAGGACTGCCAAAACTACAACCCAGGGGCCAAGCTGTTTTTGTCCTTGAGAAAGATGCCTGACTGGTGAAATAATAGACAGAGAGATCTCAGCCCGTTCCCATTCTCAAGGTGTCAAATACTGCTGTTATTCCAGAGCTGTTGGCATTCCCAAAATTACGCATAAGATGTGTTTTGTGTTTGTGCGTGAAACGAGTCTAGACAGTACTAAGTTTGATCTGTCACTTGATTGTAACACTTCTGGGAGACCCCTTGAAATAAAAGCCCTTTAAGCGTCATTTTTCAACTTGCAGAATTATTGTAGCACTCTGTCCTTTAATTACAGGGTGGTTTGGATGTTTTTTTTGTTTTTTTCCTAAACCTTACCAAAACATTATAGTGTCTAAACGTAACCAAGTACTTCAGTGCATTCAGTCATGTGAAAAGGAAAGTTTTCACAGGACTTTCTGAACCCCATGATTCAATACCCTGCAGGACCATGTTTAGCAGTCATTTTCTGCATGACTTTCTCAGTCTCTCACATTATTGCTGAGTAATTGCGTCCCATTCTTCTGTACGAGATCGTTTCAGTTCCTTACGATTTATGAACATCTGTTTATGCACAGCTCTCTTAAGGTCCCAGCAGTTCAATCAAGTTGAGGTC